CGATTTTCGGTTTATTAGATGCTTTGACGAATAACCGAAGTTCTTCCGGCGCTGCGTTTATCGCTTGGCCGTCGTCGGAGTCTCGAGCTTACCACCAGTGAGTTGAGTTTGGCTCGTGTCATTGAGTTGACTTTGAACTGACTATCTCTGTCACATCGTGCTGACTTAGGGTTTCAGATCACCATATGTTGACTTTTTGTCGTAACGCGTTGACTGGCGTTGACCTAAGGTCACGCGTTGACCGGCGTTGACCCTAGGGTTTTGAGTCGTCGAACGTTGACTTTGGTCGCAACGCGTTGACTGGCGTTGACCTAGGGTTACGCGTTGATCAGTGTCGACCCTAGAGTTTCGAATCGTCGAACGTTGACTCGTGTGGATTTCGAATCATCGAACGTTGACTTTTGTTGCAACGCGTTGACTGGCGTTGACCTAGGGTTACGCATTGATCAGCGTCGACCCTAGGGTTTCAAATCGTCGAACGTTGACTCGTGTGGATTTCGAATCATCGAACGTTGACTTTTGTCGCAACGCGTTGACTGGCGTTGACCTAGGGTTTCGAATCGTCGAACGTTGACTCGTGTGGATTTCGAATCATCGAACATTGACTTTTGTTACAACGCGTTGACTGGCATTGACCTAGGGTTACGCGTTGATCAGCGTCGACCATAGGGTTTCGGATCGTCGAACGTTGACTCGTGTGAATTTCGAATCATCGAACGTTGACTTTTATTGCAACGCGTTGACTGGCGTTGACCTAGGGTTACGCGTTGATCAGCGTCGACCCTAGGGTTTCGAATCGTCGAACGTTGACTCATGTGGATTTCGAATCATCGAACGTTGACTTTTGTTGCAACGCGTTGACTGGCGTTGACCTAGGGTTACGCGTTGACCGGCGTTGACCCTAGGGTTTTGGATCGTTCGTCGTTGATTAGTGTGGATTTCGTCGAAATGTCCAACAATCGGCGAAAAATAGGCAAATTCGGACTTCGAAAGAGGTTCGGGGGGTCAAAATTGGGTTAAGACACCCAAGGGGTGTCTCAACAAAACCGAGACACCCCTTGGGGTGTTTTGGCCAAAACCGAGGTCCCCCCCTATTTTCTTTCTATTTTTGTTTTCCCCCCTCTTTGCTTTCTTTCTTGTTTTGATTTTATTGCCTCTTTTGTTTCCCCCCTTTTTTCAAATTCTTTTCAAAAGAGGATTCTTTCCCTCTTAAACATCTTCTTCTACCTCTATCCCTCCACCATTGTTCTTTACCTTCCAAGAACTCTAAACCCATAAACTCCATAAAGAAATTTCGGATTTTGGTGTTCTCTCCTTGGCCGAAAATACCCTCTCCTCCAAGCTAGGGTTTCATCATCTTCAAGCTCAAGAAAAGCCTCTTGATTTGGTAAGTTCCCCTTCAAAACTCTCCTCTTTTTCAAGAAAGATCATAGCTTTATGTTTGTGATGGGGGTATACCATGAACTCTCATGCAAAGATTACAACTTTTTACTCTCAAGATGACGGGTTGTGTATGCACAAGTATTTGGGGGGTTTTATGCAAAGTTACAATAGGGCCGAAATTTGTAGGGGTTTTTGTGCAAAAAGGGGGCTGAAATTTGTAGGGGCTTTTATGCAAAATGGGACTGAAATTTTGAGGCTTGGACTTTAGACACACTTGGCCACAACTTTGAAGGGTGTTCCATGCAAGGAGTCAATGTTTGTTTGAGGGGTTTATTTGCAAAAAGCAACCCACAAAGTGTAGAGGGGTTTATTTGCAAAAGGGCTGAAATTTAGGGCTGAAATTCCAAAAGTTTAGACCACAACCCAATAACCAAAGTTTTGATAAAGGCATGTGGGCGTTAAATTAAAATTTGTGAAGCGGTCTATATGCAAAATTGGCTAAATTCTACAAAAGGGCTTATTTGTAAAATTAACCAAAATTGTGGGGTATCGGGGATGCTATATGATCAGATATGATGACCATGACCCAACTCGAGCGTGTCCTTGACCCGAATTTAGCCTTGAACACGAAGGGTATTTTGGGTATTTCACCAAAATTCACCGCAAAAAAAATAACAATCATTGTTTCGCATGGACGAGATTTGTAGGTTTAACTAGACTTCAACTATAAAATCATATTTATACATAGGATTTTAATTAAAGTTCTTAATTTCCCTTTTAAATTTCGTGTATTCATATTTTAGATTGTACCTGACTTGCTGCTTTTCATTGCAGATTTTCGATGTCTCCACTTCGACCTCGACCTCGTAGGAGTCGTTCTCATTCGCAGCACAGCGAGGAAGAGGTTCCCACGGCATCTTTTCCAGTGGCCTCTTTCTTTGGGGGTGAGAATTTTTTCTTCTTGCATCCCTGATTGACCTCTTTGCGGGTCATGAAGGAAGAACCGACACCCTCCTTCGCGGGGGTTAAGGTTTCGGACTTGCCTTGCTTGGCCAATTCAAGTTTTCTGGTATATTGGGGCGATTTTGTGTCGTCCTACACCTTATAGGTCGGTGTATGTTACCACGTTATTTATGTGATGATGCATATCGTTCTTCCGGTGTAGGACACTCAAAATCGTCTCTCCAATTATTCCGTGAATGAGCTTATCATTCTTCTTATGAGATGGATTTTCTGACTCCACCCTTGTGCTTTATTGCAGTAGAGTTTCCTGCGGGCAGCCTTCCTCCTCATGCCAATACTGGTTGTAGCCGGGAGGTCTTCTCTTCAGCTTCCATCAGGCAGGCCGTTAGTCCACTCCCTCAGTTTGACAGAGATCGCTCCGACGAATCCTGTCGTTTGATACGGGAAGGAGGGCGTCATTGCTTACGCCAGCTTATTACGGATGCCTCCTTTACTGCGGATTCTACCTCTACTCAGGCTTTAAAGAAGCCCAGTTTCCTGTTCGGAGATCACGTTGAGGATCCTGCTACGTTGACCCTTACCGAGGAACACTGGCTGTCTCTCGACGAAGGAGCTCCCTTGTACATTCCCTCCATTCCGCGTCAATATTCTTTCAGTCATTCGGAGATCACGTTGAGGATCCTGCTACGTTGACCCTTACCGAGGAACACTGGCTGACTCTCGACGAAGGAGCTCTCTTGTACATTCCCTCCATTCCGCGTCAATATTCTTTCACTCATCTGAAGGGACAAGCCGTGGGGCGGGATCATGGGCCTTGACACTGCCCCCCCAGGCGAGGTGTCAGCAGCTGCTCCTACCGTGGGTAATCGTCTGGCTCTTCTTGGGAGAAGGTTACCTCCACCAGATTATAGATGCTATGGTTGGGCTTCCTCACTAGCCAAGGGATGGTGGACACGCATGACCAGTTTCGTCTTGGCGCGCTGGGAGAGGGATTTAAAGAGCAGTGGATTGTATGCACCTATACGAGCCACCATGTACGGAATCCCGGTCAGCTATCGCCATTTCTTGGCGTTGCTAGAGACCTACATGCCTGACAGTAACACCTTCCTGACCAGCGGTGGCGAGTTAGGGTTGGCCTTGCATGAGATGCATCAGGCAGCAGTTGGAGTGGTTGAAGAAAGATACTCCCGATATGTATGACACTCTTTGGGACCTCACTTGTCACTATTATACCTCCTTGATCCAGACTTCTCCTCTAGCGAAAAGGAAGAAGCAGATCAGCTTGAAGCAGTTTGCTAGCTATTTGTTCCAGAATTTGGAGGGTAATTCCAGCGAGCCCATTCGTGAATTAGACGTGTTGACCCCTACCG